AGCATTAATTATTGCTCACTGATGGAGCTTAATGAAATTGAATGCTATAAAATTTTGAAGTATTATCTCAGGCCTAGATACATTATAGCATGATTTTTTATACCAAGATAACAACTGAAATCTGTAAATTTTTATATAAGTTTATAGTGACTTTCATTTTTCTATGTGTACAATACAGGAAGAACATGGGATAAGCAGCAAATTGAAGCAGAAGACAAAATCTACTTAAGAAATCTAAGGTAATTTTCATTTTTAAAACTACCTAGAGATGCATTGAGATTGACTTTGTATTATCTGTCAATCCACAGAAATATGTTTCATTATAGGAAACGTAGTACTGATACAGTGCAACAAATTACACTATGTGCTATATCATTATAAACATTTCTTCATGATCAACATCATTGAAAATGTGTGAGACTGCATTGCATTTTATATGTAGGTTTATATGAAATGAGTAAAATTGTATTTTGACATAAATTCATCTTCAAAATATCCATTTGCATATAATATACATATATCTGAATATGAGACATTCATTATGTAGAACATTTCTCACCCGGAAGCAATATTAAACATGCAAATGAATGCTAGTGTTGTCATAATAAGTACTTTTTTGTTGTTGTTTTGTTTTTTCCACTACGGGAATAAAACTCACAACCGGTGAGCGCCAAAGCCAGCTTAAACTAAAATTACTACTTGAAAGTTAGACGCAGCAGAAGAAAGAACAGGAAGAATTTCTGAGGCTTGAAAAGGAGATAAGGGAAAAGGCAGAGAGGGCAGAAAAAAGGAAAACTGTTGCTGATGACATTGCCAGTTTTTAAGAAAGAGATTTCCATAAACTTGAATTAAAAATTCTAGATAGACAGGCAAAGGAAGAAGAAAAGGCAGAAAAACAAAGAAAATGGGCAAAATTAAAGGAAAAGTTTGAAAATACTGTTAGTAGAGATCCCTCTAGGCTTTGCAAACCTGCCAAAGGGTGGGAGGAATGAACCAAAAGCATAGGACCAAAAGCATAGAACCACATCTACATATTCCACACAGGGCTAGTCCAATCTGGAGACAAGGAATTTAGAGAAAAATAGGATATAACGGAATTGCTGTTCATTTGATGAGAGTATTAGCATATTCAATAATACCAGGACAGTGTGACTGTCTTGGTTACTTTTCTCTTGTTGCTGAGACAAAATACCCAACACCCAAAATGAAGGAAGGAAAGGTTTATTCAGCTTACAGTTTGTGGAGGTTTCAGTCCATACTTGGCTGGCTCCGAGACAGAAGATAGCAAAGCAACAAGAGCAAAGGGGGGAATGGCAGCCAAACAGCAATGCAGCCAGAGCAGAAGGGAGGAAAGGCAGCAAGCAGCTTCTTTCCCTCCCTTACATTGTCAGCAGGCTACCCCCACCGAAGGGGCGTGTAGCTCTCACATAATCTCCATGCTTTCCTCTTACACAGGCTCAGGATGTATACAAAGTAAGCACCCTGGCTTCCTGCTGAGTTACTTAGCCAAACCTCTACACTGCCCAAGTTGACACAATGTATCAATCATTACAGTGACTAACCACATTCTTTTAAATTTCACTAGCTTAGTGGGATTGATTATTGTGCTGTATATAAATTGAGAGGTATTGTAAGTTTCATGCTACATTATCATTAATGGTTCCTGTTTCTACTAAGAGGGTATATGTTGGCCTATTATTGATATCGAAGTTATTTATATAAAGTTATGTTACAAACATTATCATTTTAAATACTTAAAACATTTGAAAGATACTTTGTTTTTGTCATGTCATAGAAAAACAAATGGAAGCAGTCATAGGCATTTCTTAAACCAAAATTTTGGAACTTTTGTAACTTGGAAATAAGTTAGCTTGAATAATAAAAATATGTCTTTTTCTTAAGAGTTACAAAATAACTTAGTACTTTTTCTAAGTTTAACAAATTGGTAACTTGTCCATTACTACATTTTTGTGTAATATTTTGTATTTGAAACATGCTTGTTTTAAATAGAGAATATTTATTTTAAAAATATATCTCATATATCCTTAAAAAAGGAGAAAACCATCCTTTTTTTTTTTTTTTTTTTGTTTTCCTTCTTTTTGGTTTTTCTCCCGTACTGAATTGAACTCCCAACTCACACTTGCCAGGTGCTGTGCCACTGAGCTACATCTCAGACCCTTCTTTGTGTGTTTGTTTTTTTTTCCTGTTTGGTTTTGGTTTTTCTCCGGTACCGGGAACCGAACTCACGACCTTGCGCTTGCCAGGCAGGCGCTTTTGCTGCTGAGCTTAATCCCCAGCCCTAGCCATCCTTTTTTGAATGGATAGCGTATTTGAATGTGTCCAGGAGGGGAATAAGTCAATTCATCAACAAAATTTCTTAGGAAGCATCAAAGGAGACTTGTCATCATAAATGGCAATTGTGAATAATGAGACATTCTAACTGTGATTTGATGTTGTTCTTTTCATTACAGATATGATACAGAGAATTATTTGAGATTTGAAGAGAAGCTACATAAACATAATGAACGTGGAAGTAACTGCAGCGTTTTCTGGTCTATTCAGAAGCATAAAATGAGAAAGACTGGAGAGAAACCCTATCAATATGGGAAGTTTGAGGAGGCCAACTTAGAACTTAGTGAACAAACTCACACTGGGCTGAAAATGTTTGCTGGTGAGAAAAGTATGAAGGCCCACACAACACCAAGGTGTCTTCAACAATGTGCATGTAAGCAATGTGGGAAAGCGTTCAAACAAAATTGTGAACTTGTAGCACATGCAAGAATTCACACTGGAGAGACACCCTATGCATGTAAGCAATGTGGGAAAGCATTCAAGCAAAATGGGCACCTTCCAAAACATGAAAGAATTCACACTGGGGAGAAATCCTATATATGTAAGCAATGCGGGAAATCTTTCATTAAAAATAGTAGCCTTAGACTCCATGAAAGAATTCACACTGGGGAGAAACCCTATGTATGTAAGCA